CCGGTGATCTGGTTCTCTTCGAGTTGCCTGCGACGCCGAGGGGCCGTCGCGCGGCGCGCCGGGCGTCGGGGACGCGGGGGAGCTCGCAGGTCCGTCAGCATCATGTAGAGCAGGCCGATCTCGGCCGGGATCGGGCCGGCGATCTGGTTGTACATGAGGTCCCTGCGACGCCGAGGCGCGTTCGCGCGCCGCGCCGGGCGTCGGGGACGCGGGGGGAACTCGCAGGGACGTCAGCGCCGTGAGCTGGCCGATCTCGGGCGGGATCGGGCCGTCGATCTGGTTTGCGTAGAGGTTCCTGCAACGCCGAGGGTCAGTCGCGCGATGCGCTGGGCGTCGGGGAACGCGGGGGGAACTCGCAGCTCCTTCAGCTTCGTGAGCTGGCCGATCTCTGTCGGGATCGGGCCGGAGATCTGGTTGTCGTCGAGGTTCCTGCGACGCCGAGGGGCGGTCGCGCGGCGCGTCGGGCATCGGGGACGCGGGGGGAGCTCGCAGGGACGTCAGCGCCGTGAGCAGGCCGATCTCGGTCGGGATCGGGCCGGTGATCTGGTTTTGGACGAGGGTCCTGCGACGCCGAGGGTCGGTCGCGCGCCGCGCCGGGCTCGGGGACGCGGGGTGAGCTCGCAGGGACGTCCTGGTCTCGGAGATGCACTGGCCAAATATTTCCACTTGGTTGCATGGCGTGGGCTTGGGCGTGGGCTCGGGCGTTGGGCACGCCGCGCCGTCCCCGAGATTGCAGCAGTCCGTCGAGCCGCACGGCGCGACGAGGTTGGGATTGCCGGCCTTGGCCTCGCAATTCGCGACCTCACAGAGGTCGCTCGGGAACGTGCCGGTGATCTGGTTGTAGCGGAGGTACCTGCGACGCCGAGGGGCGATCGCGCGCCGCGCCGGGCGTCGTGGACGCGGAGGGAACTCGCAGGGACCTCAGCACCGTGAGCTGGCCGATCTCGGTCGGGATCGGGCCGGCGATCTGGTTGTTGACGATGAACCTGCGACGCCGAAGGTCAGTCGCGCGCCGCGCCGGGCGTCGGGGACGCGGGGGGATCTCGCAAAAACGTCAGCGCCGAGAGCATGCCGATCTCGGGCGGGATCGGGCCGTTGATCTTGTTGTAGCCGAGGTTCCTACGACACCGAGGGTTGGCGTCGCGCGCCGCCGGGCGCCGGGGACGCGGGGGGAACTCGCAGGGACGTCAGCGCCGCGAGCTGGCCGATCTCGGTCGGGATCGGGCCGTTGATCTTGGTGGAGCCGAGGTTTCTGCGACGCCGAGGGGCGGTCGCGCGGCCGCGCCGGGCGTCGGGGACGCGGGCGGAACTCGCAGATCCTTCAGCGCCGTGAGCTTGCCGATCTCGGTCGGGATCGGGCCGGCGATATTGGTGTAGCGGAGGTTCCTGCGACGCCGTGGGGCGGTCGTGCGGCCGCGCCGGGCGTCGGGGACGCGGGGGGAACTCGCAGGTCCTTCAGCGCCGAGAGCTGGCCGATCTCGGTCGGGATCGGGCCGTCGATCAGGGTCTCTCCGAGGTTCCTGCGACGCCGAGGAGCGGTCGCGCGGTGCGCCGGGCGTCGGGGACGCGGGGGGAACTCGCAGGTCCGTCAGCGCCGTGAGCTGGCCGATCTCGGGCGGGATCGGGCCGGTGATCCGGTTGCTGTTGAGGTTCCTGCGACGCCGAGGGGCGGTCGTGCGACGCGCCGGGCGTCGGGGACGCGGGGGGAACTCGCAGCGATATCGTCGTCGCGGGATCGATGCACTGGCCGAAGATCTGGACGCAGGAGAGACGGCGGTGCTGCTGCATGCGCTTGACGAAGGCCTCCGCGGGCGACTCCGCCGACGTCATGAGTTGCTCGCGCAGGAGCTCGCTCTCGATGTTGTCGTAGATGGGCGTCGAGCTTTTGATGGGTATCAGCAGCTCGAGCGACCCCCGCGGTTCATCGATGCGTAGCGGCTCGAGCGACGACCTACGTGAGCGACCTCGAAGGTTTTCCGCGTTCTTGTGCTCTCCGTGAAGCGCTCGACAAGGGGAAGACGCTCCTCCGAAAACCAGCCGAATCGAATTCGGTGTTGAATTTTGGTTGAAGGCACTTTGTTTCGACACAAACAGCTGCTCATCGCGCCCGGCGGCCCCGGGTCCCTGCTTGCGCGTGCGCGGGTGCGTGGCTTCGTAGACGCGCTGCGCCTCGGCGGTAACGATCAGAAGCGTACAGACGCCCCTGCGCCAGTCCTTGCGCCAGTTCATGGTTCACTTTACCTACGGCGGCGCGATGTCGGCGAAGCGGCTCGAGCCGGTCGACGTCGTCGCCGATGTCGCGAGCGCGCGCGCCCGTCGCTTTCGGGGGGGGGTCCGAGGCGCGCGCGCGCCGCTGCAGGTATGGAAGTCGCGTTTTGGCGGGTACGCGTGGGCGGGCACGCGTCAGGGGGCTTTTGCGTATGATTTTACGACCTCAACGGCGTCTTCGAGCGCCTTCGATGCGCTCAAGGCCTTCGGCGGCGCCCCCCGAGGCGCGCGTCGGGCGATGCACTCTTAGGGTGGCGGGCGACGCGATCCAACCCCTAAAACGGCGCGAGAGCGCGCGCAGAGCCCGCGCCGCGGCGCGCGAGACGGTGATCCGAGGTCGAGAGCGGCGAGA